TTAAAAAAAAAAAAAAAAAAAAAGTGTAAAGCACAAGAATGTTGAAGATGTACAGAGCATGAATTGTTTTACAAGGGACTTCCAAATTACTAATACATAATTCCCCACACACTATGGAAGGTATAATTCCAATTTAAGAAAAAGAGGAACAGGCCTGTCCACCCTGCACCCACCAACGGGGGCCCCATACAGAGCAGGTGGGTGGGGTCATGAAGACAGGTATGCGTCCCTATGGTTAGAGCACACTTGGCCAGGCAGATGTGATGGGGCTGCAGGCAGGCAGCAAGCAACGTCCGGGAGTGCAACAGGTTGACAGGGCCAGGATTGCAGAGCGGTTCCCTGCCCATGGAACTGTGACAGTTGTACAAGGAGCAGACTGCGGCTGTGCCCCAGCCCCACGCTGTCACCACCCTGCAATCCCAGCTCCTGGATGCTGTTCCCCACCTGGCCACAGCCCCATCCCATCTGCATAGCCAAGAGCACCCTGCCCATGAGGGTCCCAGCCAAAGTTCCCTCTAAGGTGCACACAACTAAAAGTGTGGCCATGTACCAGGAGAGGCTGAAGTGGAAGCCTGGCGAGCGGAGCAGCGTCCCAGAGCCGCCAGAGCCTCACTGCGGCAGGCAGCGGCTCCTCCCCAAGGTAAGGTAAGGCAAGGCAGGAATGGGGCGGGGGTCTGGCACGGGCTCCACCAGCCCTGGGGAAGTGGTCCACTCCCCGGCCCCGATGCGGTGGAGTGGAGCACTTTTCCAGAGCTGGGGAGCCTGCGCCAGGCTCCGGCTCCAGCCCCTGACCCCCGGGTCCTGGCCCCAGCCTCCTTCAGTAAGTGTCCCATGCCAGACCGAGGCAGCACGCTCACAGACCAAGGCAGCATGCTAACTGACCACTGCTTCTTAGAGGGAACATTGGTCCCAGCTGATATCCATGGAGACCCTGCCCACCCACCCACCCACTCTGTCTGGCACCCCCATCAGTCAGTCCAGGGTGGATGGGCCAGGTCCAGTGGCAGCAGACACTACCAGTGGCAGCCGGAAACACCTGCTGCTGTGGGGGCTGCTGGGAAGTAGAGTCCAGCTGCTGCGCCACCCCAGCCCCGCCAAGCACCCAGAAGCAGTGGGACTAGCCACACATACTCTGGCCCAGGCTACACGCCACGGCTGGGCCAGGCACAGCCAAAGGACCCACCACAAGCTGGACAGAATCCCTTGGCACACCAGATCTGACCCACAGGCCATATTTTGCCTACCCGTCTCAGACCCATGCCTCATTAACTGGATCAGAAGAAACTAACCACTGAGCAAGCTTCACCACCTTCCTAGATTCATTTTGAACCAGAAAACTATAAAACCTAAAAGGCACAATAGCCAGTTACTAACCCCCAAAGCTATCTAAGTCCATGCTTCCATAAACATTTGTCTAATGGTACAAATGTCCAACACAAGATCAATTCAACAACAGCTCTGGTCTGAAACAGACCTACCCTATATTAAAGGTCCCTTTCAATTTTACATTTGGCAAATAAGGATACATGCACATACCCTTAAATAGGAAGCTTCTTAATTAAATTAACCTCAGGCTGCAGCATTACAGAGTTCATGGAAGGGTTATATTCCCCATGACTCCTTTTAAGATAATTAACAGTTTTCACATGGAGAGGAGTTGCATTTTTTGTCAACAACTAAAAATAAATTGGGCTATAAATCAAGGTGATGTAAGTACAAGCATCTAAGACAGAAGACACCCATGCACCACTACAGGCCTGAGACCAACTGACTAAGCAGCAGCTCTGCAGAAAAAGGACCTGGGGGTTAAAGTGGTCAATAAGCTGGATATGAGCCAACAGTGTGCCTGTATTGCCAAGAAGGCTAACAGCATACTGGGCTGCATTGGTAGGAGCATTGCCAGAAGATAGAGGGAAATAATTCTTCCCCTCTATTCTGCACTGGTG